ATATATATATATATATATATATAAGTAAATGTTCTTAAAATTGCGTAATTAACATATTATTATCACACACAACTGCATAGCTTTATGTTATGTTTCATTTTTCTACTATTAAGGTGAGCAGATTTCCCAGCTCTGATTTCGGGACACTTTATAAATATGTGAAGCGGCGGGCGGGAAGAGGGGGATAAAAAGATCCAAAAATTATTTGACAATCATTGAAAATGATGACAAATCGGTGTCCCGAATAGCACTCGAAAAAATTCGGGACAAAGGGTGAAAAATCGAGACGTTTGGTCACCTTAGCTGTATATGTCGAGAAGGGAGGAGATTACTCCGTAATAATGTACTTACGATGTTCTGACGACCGCACGTTGTTGTTTTCGGCATTCTTATTTCACAGGACACAAGCGAAAGATATATAGAATACGGAGCGTTGTATTCATGGCAGTTGCTCGGCATGAAAAGATCGCAGACGCGCGCGCTGTCAATCACGTACACCAAAAGTTCATTAGCGCGCCGAAAGTGCCAAAAGTGCATGAATGTGAATGCGCCAGCGATGCGAACGAGGTCGCGCGTCTACAACGACGCGATCTGTACGGCGGATACACTTGCTCGAGTTACTAACCACTCTAGACCAATCGCGTTCGTTTCGCACTACGAGGTTGTCATCGTGGTTATTCAATCTAGGCGTTGGTAATGAATCGCGTGAAATGCTCGATCTTTTCGCGCCAAGCAGCAGCCATGGACACACATCGATCCACATCGCTCCACGTTTCTCGCATCTTTTATCCGTTGAAAGTGCATTTTGCGCATTAATAAGTCTCGGGAATGTCGAGAATAGCGATGTGCGATTGACGGAACGTAGCGTGAAGACGTCATTTGTAAGTAATATTCTCGTTTCTCCTCGCGTAATATGCCGGTGCTTGTCGCGACGTGTCGCGCCGACGTTCCTTACATTTGCTAATAACATCGACTCGCTCAAGTAGCAATAGAATCGGGCGATCGTCGGATTTATTGAACGGAAATTAGAAATGCGATGACAATCAGAGAGAAAGAGAGAGAGATGCGGAATATTTGGGCGGTTGCGTCAACTTGTTAGGAAAGGGGATATGGAGAGAGAAGTATCTCATAGAGCGCGTTCTTTTTGGCCGCGGCGCCGTTCACATATTGACGTATATTTTCATCGCTATTCAACAATCGCGCGACTATCTTGATTCTCGATCTTTCTGCATCGAACAACCGCCGTGGATACATCGATCGATATCGCTCCGCATTTTATACGTTTTTAACTGTCTTTAACCGTCAAAAGTAAGTGTCGCACGGAAATAATCGGCAGTGTCGAGAATAGCAATGTGCGATCGCCGGGGCATATCGTGAAGACATCATTTGTAAGTAATCTTCTCGCGGTATATATAAGGTGACCAGATTTCCCAGCCCTAAATTCGAGACACTTTATAAATGTGTGAAAAGGGAGAAGGGGAGTAAATAGATTCGAAAATTATTTGACAATCATTGAAAATGATAACAAATCGGTGTCCCGAATAGGACTCGAAAAAATTCAGGATAAAGGGTGAAAAATCGGGACATCACCTTACTACTGTGCACATCTGAGTACTATGTATAACTGTTCAGTCTAAACATTGCGTATTTATATGTATAAAATAAAAAATATGTTAAAAAGGTGCTGATAAATTGCTTTATAAGTTTTCATATTTATTTGCATTTTAAGTAATCCTGACTTATTTAAGAAGCAAACTAATTTAAGTAACATACGACCTCGTCGTCCACTAAATTGTGATTTATATAGACTATGAAAAACGGCACTGTAAGTTAAAATTCTATTGTTTAAATTGTTTAAATATAAAGTATAATTTTAATGTGCTCAGACTTCAATGGCAGTAACAATACAGCAATTAGCGCAAACTACACTTTTCTTACTTGCGTCATTGAACAGTGTAAACTCATTGAACTGAAATATCTTCTAACCATGGCCAGTGAGGCATATGCTGCTAATCGGGTATCCGCGGGCAGCTTTCATCAAGTTTTTCATAAAGAGTGGTCATTCGTCGGGCCGGATGTTAATCGGCAAAGCTGGTCATCGCTTCTCTCGCGTTTAACCGTAAAATCGCCTCTAGTGCTAGGTCAGGAAAGCATCCTGTCGCTTTTTATCGCGCCGAAGGACGTCCGTTAGTTTCCGTAAACGACCCCGGGCATTCCGCGTGGAGAGCCTCAATACCGAAAGAGAAAATTAATCCCTTTCAATGTACAGCATCTTTTTTTTAAATGTTCTCTCTTCTCAAAGGACGGACTAGTTAGCAATAATGGGAACGTGTATGTCTAGAGTCACTCTTTAAAATTGTTCGATGAATTGAATGTGCATTCCTGAGACTTTCAAGCGCGAGACTTCTTTGAAAAATTCTGCCGCGAGACGACTTCTGACACACTATTGATAGCTGGCAGCTGTATGACCGGTGTCAGTCAACGAATAGGTATAATTAAAATGGGCTTCATTCAAGAACGCGACGAGCGTGTACAACGACAACGATTTCTTAATGCATACATTAACCGTAACGTTCTTAATCGTCGAGAACTTCTATTTTTTCATAGTTGCTACTATTACCAATGTTACGACAGCGGTCAAGTACGATCGATGATAATCTATCTTTTATAATGTCTTGAAAAAAAATTCAATACATATTTCACGCGAAAATATATACTGCTGGCCATGTATAAAATGCAATGTTGTCCCATATGTATGACATACACTGAGAAAAAATATCTAAAAAATAATAAATATTTATTTTTGGTGAATGTGGGTACTAATAATATACGTGTGTATGCATGTGTATATATATTTAAATTCTTTTGTTTAAATAGAATAAACTGAATAGAATGAAATAAATTGGTTTTATGAAAAAGCGAAAAAATGTAATTTAAAAAAAATATGTATTTCATTATTTTAAAGAAATTTTTTCTTAATGTAAAAATATGTATATTAATACAAGTAAATATGTTATAAATTTATTAATAAATTTTTATTACTTTTGCTTCTTGTGAAAAACAACGATTTTTTAAAAAAGAGATTGATAAATTATTATTAATAATCAGTTTTTATATTTCTTGCATTTTAAGCAATCTTGATTTATTTGAGAGACAACATAATATAAATAATATACGATTTCGTTATTCACTAAATCATAGCCTGTATATTTTCTGATTTATGTGAAATATTTTTTCAATGCAAAAATATGTATATTGGCACAAATCATACGTTATTGTAAGTACACATTGGATAAATATTTATCATTCTTTAAATATTTTCTTTTAATATATATGTATTTGTGTATATATATATATATATATATATATATATATATATATATATATATTATATATACATATATACATTTTCGCAGACACAGCATTTTTTTAATCTTTTAATGTAATCTTTTATGTAATATTAATCAACAGTCGATAAATTAATTTGTCGTGTACATATAACTCGACGAATCTAGTTCTACAGTTTAAATCTACGGTGTTAGAGATTGTGTAGCAAAACTTGATAATAATCGAGAACTGTGTTTCATTAGCATTAAAAAAAATATTTATATTAATCATCATTAATTTCATTTGACATTTTTCTTACTATTTGATAACATAGCACAAACAAATATTCCCTCTGATAAAATTGAGTGTCTTTCAATAAAATTTTATTAAATCGAGAAAGATTTTTTATCAAATTGACGAAGGCAGAAATGAAACATACTTACGAGATATAATATTAACAACATTATAGAATAGAGTTGAAAAGAAAAACTATTTCGTGAAGGGCCAGTTTAACGCACAGATGATATTAAAAGCGTGTACAGGAGATTCGGTTTAGTTCGGAGCTTATAGTTTATTAGCATAGATGGACAAACTTTGATCGTTCGGGAGTATTATTAGCGTAACGGGATAGCGTTCGCTGTTCCACTTTAAGGATTAACGCGATCATGATCCTGCTTACTTTCAGGTGCTATATTCACTCATGACCAAAAGGATAGCAGCACGGAGCTGGCCTTCAAGTACGCCGTTTACAAGATCAACAAGGAGAAAATTATTCTGCCGAAGACCACGCTGGAGTACGATATCCAATACGTGCCGAAAGATGATTCCTTCCACGCCTCTAAGAAAGGTCAGTATTAATTGTTTTATGTAAGAGTACGCGATATATTTACTTTAATATGTTTCATATACTTTCTGCGCGACTTGTATGTTTTACGGATAAACTGCTTAATCGTAATTTCATTTGCATTTCCGTAATCCACGTCGACGCAAGAACGCGCAATTTGTACTAAAACTTACAGGGCGGAAAAGTCCCTCGTGTAATGAAACGATGCCGCGTCGCACATGCCCGTAAGAAATTCCACTAAAGTTAAAAAACGTCTCACTCTCATTAATCTCACGGTTCTCCGCGCGTCATGAATGATTTATTTCTGAAAACACCACGATTTCAGTTTTACGTTTACAGGGAGTCGCAAAATGTTTAGGAGGCACTAATAAATTGCTCATTTCCGAAACGAGATTTAATCGTTAGTTTATTTCGGTGTTGAAAATACCGCACAAGAGAAACAGCTGGGATGTAAAAATCTTCGTAGACGCTCGATTAATCGTCACTATCATCAAAGTTAAACGCGAAAAATCGATTCTGAAATTTTTTGGCACTTAAAGGAAGAATGGACAGACTAAATAATGGGTTGAGGATTGGGCACCGTCTGCGAAAGACATAGCGCTTGCATTAAGTCGAAACAAAGACCTGGTTTATCGACTAGAATCATGGCACTCGCGAGGATACTCGGAGGTATCCTGAATATCCTGAAAGTCCTTTTAGTCGACGCTGCAGCGTCGCACGATGTAAGGCGTTGCCGTAAGCAAAATTTATCGTCTTGACGGCGTATATAAACCAGCCAGGGATAACATGCCTGTTCGCCGCGCGTCGTTATTAAAGTAGCATACACATTATTATTATCCTTCCCGGCTGCTATCGGATACACACCATTGAAACATCGTCTGACTTGTTTCATGGCGTCGTATCAGCAGTGTATCACGCGCCTTGTCGATATGTCGAGAAAATCAAAGAAGCGAGATTGATCTTTGTCGCCAGTATACATCGCGAAAGCGCGATATCATTGTGACAACTGTTTGCTATTCTCTGATCATTTCGACGCTACGGACGCTTGTAAGTAAACGTCGTATTCGTCGTATTCTCTATGTAGGAAGCTTATGAAAGTTATTACGCCTCCCAATTTTATTCTATTATTTCTGATGGGATGCACCTCCAAAATACATTTATACGTAATTATCTGAATATTCCTGTTTTTCGACAATATCTATAGAGAGAAACGTTTTCTACTTAAGCCATTCACGGCGTATATTTCGTATCAAAAGGTTTAAATATTCATATTGGCTCAGAGATCTCTGTATGATTCGGTATTCTGGGGAAATGCGAAGCCTACCTGAGTCGTGTTGATACTTTTACCGTGTAAGTTTTATCGAACTTGGAAAATTAATAAAAAAATCTCGAAATATGATACTACTGTACAGACTAGTGTCCTTTGAGACAGATAGTAAATATTCATAGAATCAAAGTAGTACAATAGTCTGTAGAGTGTTATATCCCGAGACTCTCCATTATAGTCCTTTAAATTTTAGAAATTTTACAAAATTAATGTATAAGGAAAATTTCGACTCGAATAAGACTCGTTCCTTTCCTTTCTCTAACCAAGCCATATTCACTTGTTTGTATTGCAAATAATAATTCTTAACGTTTATTATTACATGAGTATTACGAAAAAGCGGCTCTTATTTCTGTTCTCGCGCGGAAATGGCTTATATTCAAGATTCATGGTAAAATACAACGTGACTCTAAGTAATCCATTAGTCGCGCGCGCTGTTTTCGTCGTGGCGCAGTACTTATAATTAATCCCTTGAGAGAATTAGCCGAGTAGATTTTTTATTTGTTTTACGTTCCTTTCGACGGTTATCCGGATTTGCGTCATGTTTAATTTTGCATAAGATCGCATTGAAGCGAGCCATGTTGCTTTATATTTTGGAAATAAATTTTACGCTACGCTAATCCGGCGAATAATCGTGTTTGAATCGCGACTCACGCATGCATTGTGCACGTTATATAAACATTACAACAATTCGACGGAGATGATTAGCTTCAAACCTTCGGCAATTATTAATACAGGTTACAGGTATTGAGTTTATCAATTTTCTTCGCCGTTTTCAATCTTTGCATTCGCGATATCACGGGAGGATCGATACGTTTCAATAAACAAGGTGTAGGCCGATTGTGACATCTAATAAAAATAAAGCGCGCTTTATTCGACCTTTGAATGAGATATTTATATATTTTTCAGAAGATGCGTCGGGCTTTTTATTCATGCACTTTAAACGCTATTTTAAATCGTGTGTGTGTGTTGAGCGGATTTTTATAATACTTATTCTCTAACAATATACGCGCACCATACAAAGTCGAGGGGAGTTTCCTCAATGCTGCGAACGTGATATTTGAATAACGCTCGTCTTTGTTACTCTCACCTTTCATACATATGACGGGCGCACTGAGAATATATGGAATCCGGTGTTCCTCCAAATTCACTCAACGTAACTCGTAACTTATACATACATTTCCATTTCTATTTTATATTATGCGTATACTGCCGGCGCGCGATCTTTGTGATTCGATTCGAGACGTACGCTTATAAGTAACTTTTATCTAAAATATTATTTGGAACTTATTTTATATGCTCGCGAAATTCACATCGCTGAAATGCAAGGCCAGACAAGACGTGTAACAAAGTTCTGTGGTCTCTTAAACGAAAACTTTATTTATATATGCTGCACGCATGGCCGCATATGAAAAAGGTGCACTATCAAGTTCTCGTTGAAGCAACATCTTACTTCGGAAGCAAGCAATATTTACCTAACAAATTGTATGTAGAAGCATCTACAAGGAATACCGCAAGAAATAATCCCTGAAAAATGCATCTATCCGTCCTGTATATCTTTAAAACATAAAAAAATATTTTCATATTAATACTGAGATATGTGTATATATATTTAAGCGCTCATAAATCGCCTTTTATTTCCATAGTAAATAACACGATATTAATTTAACACTTTCGTTATTAGCGTTACATATACGTGATGGCAAAAATATTTTTTTCATATCTACATTATCAAATTATTTTATTTATACGATTATGTAAAAAAAAGACAAAAAACGAGGTAAATATAGAGACAATCTTTCAAATAATAGCAATCATGTTAACAAGGCAAAAATACGTTAATAAATATTTTCATACCGTCTGATAGTTTGTTCTAAATTCTGACAGACGATTGTTTACACACAGTACATACGTAACGTGTGTACGTTACGTGCGTGCGCACGCTTATTCATAGAGAAATCTGCTATTGTTGCTGCCTCCATATATATTCTACGGTTAGAGAGAAAATTTATGATTTCAAATTGAATATGGCGCTGAAAGTTGTTACATGCCCATTTATAAAGTTCTCAGTTACAGTTCTTATAAAACATAATGTTCAGTTAGTATGTGCTCACATACATATATAGTTGCTTTAATCAAAGGAAAATTGTTATCTCTTTGTTGTGGTTTGCATAACAAATACTATGATTGAGGGACATCCTTGGTGTTTTCTCCGTGTGTATAATATTAGTTTGTTGACGATAAATCAAGACAATCAACACCAACTCTGTACACATTTTAATATATATGTACTTTCAATTACACGCGACCGGAGAAACTTCCGTCGCGATAGCATTGGCGAACTAGTATCACGAAATTACAACGTGGATCGATCGAACGTATAGGTATTGTGAACTAGAGTAGGAAGTCACTTCAAAACCAATGCGTGTCATAGCTCGTCGCGGTCCGCTCGTCTCGCTATCGCAATGACTTTTCATGAACCCGTTGGATTATCCGCGGCAGCACGAAACACTCGAATTTATTATCCCGTGTAGTTACGTGCTTCGATGGCAAATCGCTCTTAACTTCCTGCCATTTGTGTAACATGAAAATGACAACATACAACGGAATTCTCCGTTCCACCGTAATACCAGTTATATCTCACACCGACTTAAGTTTCACATAAAGCTCCCGATATCGCCGTGTGTCGAAAGCGTCGGAGTAGCGATCGAATTACACTTCGATTCTCATCGAATGAGAAGACGATCGATTCGCACGGAAACGTTCTATCTCTGTCATCGATAAAGCTCGACGCGCGAAGATCTGAAAAATTCACCGAGTTAACGAAAAATATATCCTTTGACGATCCGGACGCGTCGCTCTCGTTTCCCACGCGCGACCTTCGCACAGTGTTGCCAAGAGCCTGTTTTCATGGAAAAAAGCCGTTTTATGAAACGTAACATAGAAAAATTTTCTTGTTGCAAGCTAAAAATATAGTATCTGAAATATAATAAAACACATAAATAACACAAATTCTTTATCAAATACCGTTCTAACAGTTTCAGAAAGATTGTGGCTAATCAAAAGAACTATCGTGTGAGGGAACTCCTACCTATATTAGAAGCTCATATCCTTCACAGTAAATTAATACTAGACAATTGAATTCATAGTTTAAGAATACTTATACATTAATCTTCTAATAAGCTAATATTGGTTCTTATATGTTTTGATACTTTTCATATACGCAATATATTTCAAATTACTAAATTCCATAAAAAGAACAGAAATGTTTAGTTATGTCACGTAGATTGAGTTACATTGTGTTAATGTTGGTATGCATTATAAGTTTGAAGTATTATTTGTACGAGAAAAAATAGACTTTCTGAGTAAATGTGTGTCTAAGCGAATTAGAAGTGAAAAACTACAGCTAGAATGTAACTGTCGGACACGGACTCTAGCGAGTTCACTTTTTTCTGCAATTGATATATACTCCCTTCTCTCCCTCACTGTCTTAATTATTCCAAATTTGGCCACTATAACTATAACTATAAGAAAAATACAGTTTTCGATGTATAATTTATGCATGCAAAATTTTAGATCGATATCTTAAATAGATTTTAAATATGATTTTTATTCATAAGAGCGGCACAACATTGTACGTCGCGCGAGTCTCGGCGTGTCGATACATCGCGTAGGAAGT